ATCTTCAATACGCTGCGTTTGTTTGTGATTGGATATCCTGAAGTATATGCACACGTTATCACAAATTATACAGACATTTTATCTTTGTATTAACTCTACATTCCGTTGAACATCAATAAAATTTTGCACACCTGCTCGAAAATCATACAAAGATCTGTTCATTTCGGTTATCCTGGAGCAAATGAGTATTCGGCCTCATTCACTGGGCAAGAATTTTTCCACAGAAATGTTATTAAATACTCGAAAGCTTGAATATTTCTGGTTAGAGCCGTACGTGACCGCTTCTCAAAAAGGCTCATTATAACGGTGTAGCATTCAAAATAAAATTTTGTTTCACATCCTCCGCGCGCTTTCATTTTTTCACTTGTATAAGATGCTGGAAGCACAAAACAGACGAACATGTAGAGAAACTCTTGTAGCAACTGAGTTAATCGTTTTGTATAAAGTTCCTTTCAAAACAGAGCAAGAATATGTAGTTGAACACAAGTTACAATCCACATGTCTAACTCGTCAAGGTATCGACCAATCATTCTGCTCCTAGCCCGCAGGTGGCCCGGTGAGCAAGCTCGCCGAATATGTTTTGGTCTATTATCCCCTGATAAACTGCAATAAGAAAAGGTCTTTACAGAAAATAAGCTCAGCATTGGAAGCATTGAAAACTACGCCATCGAGTTATTACTAATGATCTGAACAAAGAGCTCTGGTATCAAGGTGCAAAACACAGGTATTTTCTTTCTAAAACTGCGCAACAAATGAGTTTTTCAAAAAAGCAAACTGATTTTGAGTTCATCGAGGCTTGCGCTATCGAAGGAGTGCTAGCGGTCTAAAGAAGGAGTTTGTCCAGCGAAATATAACCAGATGAAAAAAGAAAACGCGTGACCGTGGTGAAAAATTTTTTTAGAATGTCGCAGCGTTATGAAATGGCTTTTTCGAGAGCCGGCGCGTACGGTTCTAGTCAGAGATTCAAGCTTACGTAAATATATTACCACACTTCTGAAAAGTTTCTTACTTCCCAACGATTGAGGTCGAAGATTCCTTTATTCCCGGCTAACAAAGATGAACTCAAATATTTCATCACTGCATTGCCATTTTATGCGACGAAAATCTCTCAAAGTAATTGTTCAACTTCCCACCAACTTTATATACGTATCCACATCACTGCGCTACGTTTGTTTGTGATTGAATATCGTCAAGTATATGCATACGGAGCCACAAGGTTCATACAGATACTTCATCGCTACACTAACTTTGCATCGCATTGAATGCCAACGGAATTTTGCACACCTGCCTGAAAATTTGTACAGTGATCTCATCGCTGCCTTTGTATGCTACCGAAATCTCATAAAGTATTTGCACACCTTCCCACGAAGTTCATACACGAATCTCATCACTACACTGCCTTTGTATACCATTGAACCCTTTTAAATTATTTACACAACTGCGTAAAGTTCATGCACGTATCACATCAGCATCATTTGACGCAAATGTGGAAGGTTCACTAACAGGACTCATACTAATCCTTGATGTAACAATCTATTAACATAAATTAAGTAATTTAAGACCTGTAGAGTGATTTATGAAGCAAGATATCACCTTTCGTTCCTTACTCTACAAGGATTGGTCTACGCGATTGTCCGCGAGTGCACATGTTGATGCCATTTCTGTTCATAATATGCATTGATAGTCCATTTCCGCACAATTTCTCTCATTAGTAGTATGCCGTCGTGGCTGTGCTGAGAAAATGTGGTTGGTCAGCATGCTATCACATGTTGTGCTTAGACGGCATGTGTGGCAAGAAGAAAACGTACAAGCGCCTGCACTGACTCCCAACAATCTCTCAGCTGTAGCAGCCCCGTTATATCATATCAGGATAAAGAACAATGATTCTTTTCTTTATATCAGTACTAATAATTTGCCGCAACACTTCTGCGCGCTATATGTTTTCAGTTTGATCACATCTACTTTTCAAATATCGGGCAAGCATGACTTAAGAAATGGCGCGAGTGTGAGTTGAAGCTGAAATCGTCTGCTAGTGCACTAATTGCCGACTTCATTACCACCATCATCACAATTTCCATGGGCATCCTGCAATCCTCTCCTCCAAGAGTTTAGGTCAACATACGAGATTTCACATTGTTCTTCTTAATTCCACTCACTCCACTACAGATTTCAACGAAATGAAGCAGCGATATCTGGTTGCTCATGTCTGGCATAATCATCGGTCATGAAATTCGAGTTGTGTCATCAATTCAAAACAGTGAATGACTTAGGGGTTATAACGTGAATTGAGCATACACACGTGCAGAACAATGGAACAAAGTGTTCCTTCGTTTTATAAAGCAGCTATTTCCTCAAGCCCTCAAGACATTAAAAACTTCTCCTAATCTATAAGAGAGCTGTAAGCCTCTGGCACGTACTTTCTTCTACACAAAACAGCTTTACATATCTAGAGTCGTAACCCTATACTTCACATCGATCTCCTGTCACATAATAAAATCATTTTTGTAATCACAAAGCCACGAGAGCTCAGCATGATAATTGCGCCTATATTCTTCAGTTAGTTTACCTTTTTTGTAAATCAGACAATCTAAGTTCTCTCATTAGTGTTTTCATCATACCGGAGTAATAGTGTCAATGATGAGAGGAAAGAATTGCCCGTCTAGAACCCTTGCTTTCCGAAAGGTAATGTCTTAATTATTCTATCGCCTTAGATTTTGTTTTACTGTCTTCAAGTTTCCAAGCTCTAGAAAACTTCATACTAGAGTCGACATTCATTACATCACAATACATCATCTCGGGAATAAAGTCAAGCAGGGCAAGAATCTGCTATAGTGACAGAAAATACAACTACTGATGTTGTAACTATTAAGTTCAGGCTCTAGCATTCAATGTCATTTTATCCTAAAAGCCCTATCTAGATAATGAGCAAGCATAGCTTGAATTTATTACCAATTCTTCAAAATTTTGTAGCACACTTTTATTAAACACTTCATTATTCCTTCTTCACAGCGTCCTTTATATCGTTGTGCGGACCCGTGCATCTCTAGCATTCAGTTCGCTTTTTTGTTTTCTTTTTGAACGTCGTAGAATACTGGTTAAGCCAGTCTCCTTAAAATCTTGAGGATATCCCGGCTGTGGTGTTCCATAAGGCGTTATTTTATTGTTGACTGCCGGAGTGAGTTGGAGGGTAGAGCTCGGCTCCACGCGCACAGCGACAAACAATCAATCTTCTCGGGCCAAAAAGGAGTTATTTTGTAACATGTTACATAAAATGCTCAACTGATTTGTGTTCATAGTATGAGAATCTATCAAATGCTTGGAATAGCGATTACTCTATACATCTTACTACCATATCGACATTCTCACTCTAGAGTGACCATTCTTCCAAATTTAGTGGTGTTTGGATAGAGTACTAAAACAATTTGATGTAACGTATATTTCAAGTTCCCTCAGAAATGTTTTGGGAAAAAGGCCTTTGAAGTTGATCCAAAAATCAACGAGAAGCCACGTGCCGTACCAGTAAAGAAATATAATAGCAATAAGAGCATGATAACTGAGCGAGTAGTTGGAGGTAGTGAATGTAATGATATCTGAGTTGTTTATGATATTCACTGCTCTTTTAATTTGAAGAGCAAGGCAACAAAGTCGCTCACCTGCAGAGCAGTGTTTATATGACGTAAATTTGCTTCGCTTGTTAAGATACTGCGTGATTACTCATCTGATGACACTCGGGCCTTAGTGCAGAAATTTTCTGCAATAGAAGGCTGACATGGAAATATAGTGCAGACTTTTAGAATAATGAGCATTATCTTACTCTCTCCCACAATATCTTCCTCACATTATGCTAGCTGGTAATCACTGAGTTTTCTTGTCAAATATATGATCATCCGAAATTGTTTTTATTTTAAACGCTTTTTGCGGTGGTATGATGTTATAGATATATACCCAGTGTTGTAGAGTGATGTGTAAAACTTTAGCGTCAGCTGGGACTAGAACCTGCGCCTCACTTTTCCGGGAATGCGTGCTCTATCCGCTACACTACTGACGCCCATTTAGCACATCGCTCTTTCTACGCTAACGCGTACCGATCTGTCAGCCGCCAGCCGTCAACGGCCTGGCCCGGGTAGTCGGTCTCGACATTGAACAAAGTCACGCTGACAGATATTGCGGTGCGCTTTAGCCTAGAAAGAGCGATCTGCAAAATGGGCGTCAGTAGTGTAACGGATAGAGTACGCATTCCCGGAAAAAGTGAGGTGCGGGTTCTAGTCCCTCCTGGCGCTAAAGCTTTGCACATCACTCTATAACACTGGGTATATATCTGTATATGATCATCCGTTGGACACTGGTTCACTAGTCAGGTCACAAGTATTGGTAAAAGACTCAACTACGTGAACAAGAATCAGATGCCCGATAAGATGCTACTACAATATTATGTTATAACACAGTATTTCGTAATCACTTTCCGTCCTTAGAAGGCACGTGCACAGTTCATGTATCTCGCAGTTTTGATAAGAGAATCTTACGATCTCCGTTCACTGGTGCAGTTTGAGTCTTTGTGTTCCGTCTTCTTAGTACATTATGAGACACTCCATACATTCACGGTCGAACATTTAGTAGCGATTCCTCGTGTTGGCTTTTCAAATGTGGTAAACCCAATGATGTAGATTGGTGTGCAAAAACATTTGCGTCGGCCTGTATTTCGAACTCAGACTTCACTCTATCCGAAAGCGCGTGCGGAACAGCTGCACTACCGGCGCCCGTTTTAACACAACTATTTCTACGTCAATGCGCTATCTGTCAGCTCTACATTATTGGGTTTATTGTAACATCATACCACCGCAAGAGGCGGTCAAATTGAATGAATTCTGATTGATTATTGAAATCCAGTATCTGTTAGCATAAGTGGATTCAATGTCGATAGTGACTGCCACGCCAGAACGTTGACCGTAGGCTGTTGACAGATAACGCGTTGTAGCGTAGAAGGAGTGGTGTCAAAACGGACGTCGGTAGTGCAACAGGTTCAGCACGCGCTCCCGGAAAGAGTGAGGTTTAGGTTTGAATCCCAGCTGACGCAAATCTTTTTGCACACCACTCTGCATTACTGGGTCTGTTGTAATATCATACCACCGCAACAGTTGGTCATAATATGAATTCTGAATGTGATAAATTTAATTACAGCCATTTTAACCATGTTGTCCCAATCTAGTTCACGCATGTTTCATCGGTTCACGAAGAGTTAGTGAGATAGATTCATTTGGAAGAAATCCTACTTCTATAGTCTTTAACTCATCAAATTTAATATAATATGCGCCTTGAGACAAAGTAACGCTGGGCAATATGTGGCGGAAACTCTGTTTGACTCCCTAGACTTGTGTATATGTTACACCTGCAACAAAGTTCAGCCAAGGGAAATTGAGCCTTCAAGTATGTATGCTTGCACTATCTAGCGTCAAGCTTTTCGTGAATGCTAGCATTTCTGCAGTGATTTCTTTTTCCGCGATCAAGTATATTCCAAGTAATCAATCGAAAATCATCTCATTTGACCGCCGATTGTTATGATGTTGAAATAAACCCAATGATGTAGAGTGGTGTGCGAAAACGTTTGCATCTTTTTTTTTTCAAATAGTCTGCTGCTCGATGAGACGGATCCCTAACAAATAATCAACGGCCGAGCCAGATTTTCTATTGCTTCCAATAAGAATGATGATCATAGAAAGCAACCTCCGTTTTTCACTGCTTTATACTTACCCATGAACATCACAGCGATTTTGTCCACTTTCTATGTAACCAACCGTTCAACAGTAATAATATGTAGTGCCTGACAATTTGCAAAGCGTATATTAAGAATTCGATAACGCACTCTCTCCGTTTTGTAAAAATTCTGGCAAGATGACACATGTGGTGCAGACGGCGACAAAGACCATTACGAATTTGACCATATGCCTTGATCTATTGTCAAGTTACACAAGAGCTCGAAATTTTGCTGCAACAAATCCGTCGTTTCTAGGACCATCTATCCCTTTTCTCTTGTTCCAGCTGTTATGATGGCCTATGTAGTACTGGATCGCGTATCAACGGCCATGATCACATGAATGTCTGTTGAAAATATTAGTTCTAAGTATGTGAGCTAATGACATTGTGCAAATGCATGTTTAGTTGTTATCATGATGACTGTAAAGTAATTCCAAAAAAAAGAATGTTTTACGCCTAAACGAGGTTGGTACGTCACGGCCATACACCGGCGTTTCGGAGGTTTCGGCCTCCTCGTCAGTGACCTATATGTGCTATAATGCAGGGCTTAATGTGGAGCGGGGGTCACTGACGAGGAAGCCGAAACCTGCGAAACATCGGTGTATGGCCCTGGCGTACCAACCTCGTTTAGACTCAAATCATTCTTTTTCGGAATTATTTTGAATGTTTATCACGAGGTTTTAGAACCAGTCGATCTTATGGATTAACTGTATAGGATTTTTCAACCAAGAAATTCCAGTTGGGCTTGTATTGAATGTACCAGTTTGCAAGTTATAAAGAACAGTGCTAACCGATCAACTTCTGCGGACTCACGCTGGGCGTGTTTACCAGCGTGTAAACGACCTTCCACCTCCTCTGCCCCGATCAGTCGCCGACAGCAGTATTACTTTGAGTTTCCATATTCGAAGCTAACTTTTGGGTTGATTCGCGTGCTGTCTTGCAACGAAAAATAGTACTTTAGTTGATGACTAATCGAGACAGAGGAGGTGGAGTCGTCCCCACGCTCGAAGACATGCCCAGTGTGGTCCTGCCCAAGGCAACCGGCTAAGCAGCAAAATCTTATAGTGCGCCGCTCGATGCATTTATCCGTTAACTGTGTTCTTCATTACCAATTCCTCTCACAAATGAAAGGAAGGTGGATAGGTGCAGCATGTATGTTTGGAACTAGACCCCTTCTATTAGTTTTTATATCTTGCCTTCAAAGTCCTGGATGAAACTATGCACCGTACACCTAATCTTCCCGCTCTGGAGAAAAGTTTCCTAGACCTATTTTACGATATTTGCTCATAAATTTGCAAAGATGCAAAGTTGGGGCCACAACTCTATCACTAGGATGGCATAAATCAACTAATCGCTAATCCTGAAAACCCTGGGAATCACTTGGCCAGTGATTAAAGCTATAATCTACGAGCGCTTACTAACTTCCGAAAAAGCAAAGAAACAGGAATGAAAAAACTTTTGTCGAAGAAATGCCAACGACATGGTTGAGTGAGGCGATAGAGTTTTTAACATCACTTCATCAAACTTTAGAAATGGTCTAGTTGCACAATTTATGGTACTTTTCCTATATGAGCCCCTCATTTCGACCTCTTAAAAGGAGGGCATTTTTTGGTTCCAAAGTTTGAGTAGTCGTTTGGTAGTTCAAATATTGAAAAATTTGAAAAAATCCTTTCATTTTTTCAAAATATGTTTTTCATTCAAAACATTTCTCGATAGAACAAAGTTTTTCCTTTAGACTCATAGTAAACATTTGATGTCATAAATCTCAACAATTCCAACAATATATTTATTTTTGGATAGGACTTCTTAGTGCCCTGTGAAAGGAAATATGGGTATTGCAAAATTGGGACAGGAAAATGCGGTGGCTTAGTGGAAATGTTGCGTAATTCTATACACATACCTGCAAAGCGCGTTGGTTTCGTGACGATGTCGTGCTTCACAAAACTTAACTTTCTTCTGAGTCCTAGAGTGCACTAAAATCTTTTCCAAAAATCAGGTGCATTATTTGATCCGACGGGATTTGAGCTATCGAATGGTTACTAAAACTCTAGAGAAAATACTTTGCTTAGCGATAAATATCTGGTAGAGGATCATATTTATATTTTTGCTATTGCAGCACAATAATGAATTCATTTCAAAAAACACACCACTGTAATTCTTGAGATGCAAGCCATTAGATAATTGCTGCATCTTGGAAAAATGAAAAGACGCGCTTCTCAATTGATCGGAAATAGCTGCGGATAACGAAAAGGATCCAACTTACGAAACTATTTTTTCTGGCTGCTACAGCGTGGTAAGAAGTCTTCTAAAAACATTTTATTGGTTTTGTGGAGGTTTGAGCTGTCGAATGGTTGTTGATCTAAAGAGAAGCCTTTGTTCAGCGAGAAATATTTGAATGGACAAGATACTTTCATTTTTGCTGTTACAGGACATCAAAAGGGCGATTTTCAAAAAAATATATTTTTGAATTCAATAGAAATATAACCTACCGAATGACTACTTGAAATTTGAAAACAACCGAGAAATACGTTTTTCTCAAGGGATGGAATTAGGGGCTGCTAACGGAAGTGATCCTAATATCATATATATATATATATTATATATATATATATATATATATATATATATATGTGTAAATAATTTATATGAGTTATGGTAAGTGGTGAGGTGTATCAAGAAGCCAGGTGATAAGCTAAAACTCTTTCGATGCTTTCCACCACTCTCTCTTGTATTCAACCATCGGATGCCTTTGGGAGCGCCTTAACTCTGCTCCCTACATAAAAAAATCGTTTCTATCAGTGTTCTTTGATATCAAGAAAAAAGATGAAATTTTCTAACGGCAATCGAAGCAACATTTGACATATTGGAAGACCACTGTGAAGGATGAATGCGAGGAAGCAAATGTATGCATGAAGTGCTGAACCCGCTCAGTAGACTGTTATAACGGGTCGTCTCATGTAAAATGAACTCATATAAAATAAAACATGCCTCCATCGACCTTTTTTATAGACCGGCTCAAAATGATATAATCTAATAAGGATATGCATGTTTTGAGCTGATAGGTCGAGTGGTATACAGGCGCCTGTTTCGTCCTATTGGGACTCATCGGTAGCACCCTCCCTCGGTTCGACCAATCCCGTGAGATTAAATAATCCTCTATAAGGAATCGACGGCGAGTATCAAATCACTCCAAGTCAGGTGATGTACTTACCTGACACTGTGGTGACCAGCAGTCGAGCGCGTAGCTGTTATAATGAACGGGTCCATAATGAACGGTTATAAAGAACGGGTCTATAATAACAGCTACGCGCTTGACTGTTGGTAACCACAACGTTAGGTAGATAATCACCCGATTTGGGGTGATTTGATACTCGGCGTCGATTTTTTACAGAGGATTATTCAACCTCAGGGGATCTGCTGAACCGTGGGAGGGTGGTACTGAGAGTTCCAATAGGACGAAACAGGCGCCTGTATATCACTACCCCTATCAGCTCAAAACATTCAGATCCTTAGCAGATTAAATGAAACATGTAAACCCTTTGTTTAGCAACCCATTTCATTAGAAATAATTTATGTGAAGACGAAAACTGAAAGGTGTGAGTCGCATGATGGAACAATTTTCAAACATATCGACTGCACTAGATGTATACAGACTCGAGCGCTTTGGAACATTTGCCTGGGATTTTATCTATTTCATTTCCATATAAAGTCTACTAATCGGCCGAAGTAAGCACACATTTTTGGGGAGATCGAGGGCATTTTTTTATCCGTATGTAAAGATTGTTTGCATCACTCCGAACTTGCGCAGAGGATCACAGGGAACGGCTGGAATTGGGAACAGTAGGAGCTTTGCTTCCTTCTATTGAGCAAAACTTCAAGAAAAAAACGATAGATAAAACTAATACTAGTAGTATTAGACGACTGAAATATATTGTTATGAGTTTGAGCTTCACGTTGGTAGGCCATCCGAAATGTGGTTCTATTAGCATGAGATGGAAACCAAATAATGAAAATAGTGGCAATCTCATTTCATTGTGCGTAATAAAATTTCCGTATTCTAAAATCATCCTATAGACCTCAACGTCTCTGTCACGTTTTTTCATGTACGTTATGATGAGGACTCGCTAAATGAATGCTCTATGATCTCTCTAAGAGCTTGACCACTTTTTTTTCACAGAGGCCCACGTTTAGGTTTTGCATGTATTGGATGATTCGCATATAGCTAGAACTCTCAGTCCAAATGTCGATAGAGGTGGTGTTACACATACATTTATACGGTTTTTGAGCAAACTCTTCACACCGATGTCCAAAATTCTAATTTTT